TTCTCTCTCTCTCCCTCCCCCCCTCCATCTCCTCTCCTCTCACTGCACATTAGCCAGCCAACACCGTGGCGAGATGCGCGTGAAGAGGAGAGCTCCGGTGAACACCTGGTACTCCGGGCGACTCCAGAGCAGGGGTGTCTGTTTTGACCCTTTCCCTCTTCCAGTGCCCTGAATCAAACACTGTCCCACATCTTACCGGACTTTCTCTCATCAGATCTGAGAGTAGGATCTCCCGACTGGCTCAGAGACTCAACCAGAGGCAGAGCGATGCTGCGCTGATTAAGGATTTCAGACCCCTCTTCCTCCTCTCTGGCACTGCGGGAAGCTCTCAAAGCTTGGACAGGTGAGTTGAGCATCTCTTTCGCTCTCGTCCGTCCGCAGTCACTTACTTCAAGTGTGCTTTTCCTCACAGTACGATTCCCCCCTTAAGTGTTGCTAAAATTACCCATCACCCCCCTGCTGCTTCCCACAGGTGCTTCTCAGTCTTCCTGGCAGCTGCCTTTTCATTTTTTGATTTGCTTAATTGGATTCAAGGCATAACCTTAGCTCACTTGATTACTCACTGGTGTCAGAGGCTTCACTCTGGCTCTGCAGAGTGCATTATTATTAGTGCTCTGAGTAGGTGTTTGCACACTCAAAAACTGCGCACAAGAAAAAAAAAACAGGACACTGCCTTAATGTCATGTCTGACAAGATTATAGACCGCTGGGATGAGAAATAACACATAGATCCCCTACAGTTCCATAGCTTTTAAGCAGAATGTCAATTAAGGACAAATTTGATGTCATTGCGAGGTATATATATATATATATATATATATATATATATATATTTGTTTTTGTTTTTTTTAAAGCACAGATTTAATAAAGGAGTAGTTCACCCAAAAATTATAATTTGCTGAGAATTACTCACCCTCCGGCCATCCAAGATGTAGACGAGTTTGTTTCTTCAAGGGAACAGATTTTGGAGAAATGTAGCATTGCATCAGTGTCTCAGCAATGGATGCTCTGCAGTGAATGGGTGCCGTCAGAACGAGAGTCCAAACAGCTGATAAAAACATCACAATAATCCACAAGTAATCCACTCCACTCC